AGGAGATCCAGCGCAGGAGGTGCGCAGAGAAAACAAGCACCCGACCGACAGTGGATGTGGAGGAGGAGGAGGAGGAGGAAGAGGAGGAAGAGGGGGAGGAGGAGCAGGAGGAGGAGGAGGAGGAGGAGGAGGGGGGGTCGCACATCACGGCCCGAGGCATGCGCGCGGACGAGTGGGCGGCCAGGGATGCGTGGAGAAAGACGAAGACCCAGCTCCGGACCGCGCCGGACTCGGCACGGGCCCGGGGCCCGCCGCTGATCCACACGCCTCGGTCCATGCTGGCGCTTCCTCGACAGGAGGAGCAGGAAAGAAGCGGAGGAGGAGGAGAGGGAGAAGGAAGAAAAGAAGAGCGGCCTCGGGGGGCGGAGTCTGGCGCGTGCCTCTTGCTCTAGCCCCCGCCGTCGCCCGCACAGCGCGGGCGCCTTCATTCAGCTCACGGCGTCGCGCACGCCGAGCTTGAAACGACCATGGCGTAGATAAGTCGGCCTCCATACAAGTTCACTGTCCTGCTGACCACGCAGCCAGCTCAACGCCCCTGACTCCCACAGGTGCCTTGCCCTCCTTGACCACCGCTCCTGTCTGCAGTAGTGTGTGGTGTATGTTATCCTGGAGCTGAGCCGCTGCAGCAACTCCACCGTCGGTGACTCCATGTTCTCTGCGTCCGTCTTGGGGCCCTGCACGATGAGCAACGTGAGCAACGCTTGGTAGGACACGAAGCACTTTCTGAGTTTGACGCATTAGACTTTGCGAAGTACCGTCGCTGCGTTGATCTTGTCCAGGAACTGGCCGTGCACTTGGAGTGGCACCCTCGTTTTGCCTCCCACTTCCTCTGAACAGAGGGTCATAAACAGTGTCATGTAGTGTGGCCCCTCTGGTGGCCATAAAGCGAGTCCTTTGCCCTGTGCCCTGCCCTTCTCCACGAAGAGTATGCGACTGGTCATGAGGTCCTTGACCACGTTGTTCGGAATGGGCGAGAGGTACGCGCTGAACACCGCTGCCACCAACCACGACAGCTGCTGCGTGTTGGCGAGAACTTGCATGATGAATACTGTGAGGAGCTCGGTGAGCTTGGAGACGACTGTGGCCTTGTAGTTGACCGTACACACTGCGCCTGAATGGCCAAGTCCTGTGCAGGAGACGCAATTATTGAATTGAGGGCTTGGCGTTCGTCATATCGAGCGTGAAGCCTGGGCTGCAATGAGCATCCAATAGAGCGAAGCCGACTCGGAAAGCATGAGGGAGAAGCCCTTCGAGACGTAGAACAGTCCGCGGCGCCTCCTTCAGCTCCTCGTTGTAACCAAGGCCATGGGCCAGCGGCTTGCTCTTTGAGGTGGCTATAGACTGCAGGATGATCTGGGAGATGTCAGCTGGCAATGACCGCCCGGGAACTGGAGCTCGTTTTTTTTTGCCGTGGTTGAGCCGCTTCTTGACTCCGCAGGAAAGGATGCCCAGTTTCTCTTTCTCCTCGCAATACTCGTCCTGGAACTGCTGCGCGATGTCGATGTCGCGGTCCCTGCAGGGGGCCCGGAACTGCTTTTTCTCCTCGTCGAAGTCGTAGGGTTGGGCCTGAAATCCTCCACGAGCGCTATAGGATGCGCCTTGCGTAGTCCTCTCTCGGCGAGGCTCGGTCTCGAACGGGTTGCCCTGCCGTAGTAGTTGCGGTTCCTCTTGCCGAGCTTGGTGCCTGCAATGCACCTGCTGAGTAGATGTATTTCTACGTGCCGCCTTTTATCCCATGTCTCAAAAAACTGCGCCTCAGTAGCTCTCTTGCGTGCTGCGTCGTGAAGCGGCTTCTGCTTCTGGAAAGGTCTCGTGAGTGTATCCAGCTTCTCTCCGATGTCAAGTCCGAATGCTACGCCAGTGCACTGCATGCGTAGCCCCGCACTTTTCTTCAGGAGCTCGAGCTTCTCTGCCATGAGTTGCTTGAAGGTACCAAGCTTTTTGTTGCTTTTCTCTCGAAGCAGGGCTCGGCGGTGGTCTTGAACATGTCGATCAGGTGCTTCCTTTGGGCGCAGGAGGTGCCCTGCTCGTCGAGCTCGCGGATGGCATCTGCGTTGCTCTCCAGGGCGGTCGCGAGGGCTGAGATGAACGCGTTGCGAATACCCCCAGTCTGTAGGGACTCTGCATTTTTGTCGCGATCCCAGAACGACCGAAGAATGTCTGAGATGAGGTAGGGCATGACGATGTCGGCCTCGGCGAAGAGTGGCTCGTGGCCCTGCTTCCCGATGTCCTTGAGCGTCAGTACAGTAGTCCCTGCTTTCCACCAAATACCTCCTGTCTGAGGATTCGGCGACAGCCCATGAGGAACCACAAGGTAGTCAGGTCTCGTAGCTTGTCCAGCTGCACCAGAATAGGTAGGGCCAGCCTGCCAGAAGGACTTGGTGAGGCAATATCCGCAATCCTCCAGTGCGTAGCGGCAGGCTGCAATGAGTACGTCAGTTCCGCACCGCAAAACTGCGAGGTCCGCGCCTGTCGAAGGTGTGCTGCACGTCGGTGAGGCAGGAGGCGTACTGTTGATCCCCTTGAGCATCTCATTGACCGTGTTGACACACTGGAGGGAGTTTGCCGCCAGCCCTGAGCGAGTCGAGGAGTAGGCCACGAAGAAAGCGAGGTCCAACTCACCCCGCTGGTAGCTGAGAGCACCAGCGCTTCCTTGTACCTGCTCGGGTTGGCTCTCAAGATCGACGACGGCAGGCGGACCGAGCCGCTGGCTCACCCAGCACACCGAACCTGCATGGCAATTGAGGAGCGGTCCGCGACCATAGCCCCTCATGCAGACTGCTTGCTTGAGAGTCTTGAGCTGTCGACTTGTGAGCTGGCGCCGAACAGTCGCCACCGCGTAGCTGGAGGCATCTTCACGTCCACGGCGCTGCAGGTGAGGCTGAACTCGGGGCAGCGAGGCAACGCCAGCAGCGAGATTATATATACTCCCCCTTCGGAGGAGACGCATGCCGATCCAGATCGTCATGAAAGATATGGAAGCCAGCCAGGCTGTCATTTCATGGAAGGCGCTCTCTGCGGGCGGAACTGCTCTGCGCGGGGTGCCTGCCTGGCCGCTGAAAAGGTGGCATGAGCAGAAGCGGCGGCTGGAGGAGGAGGAGGAGGAGGAGGAGGAGGAGGAGGAGGAGGAGGAGGATGGGGAGGAGGGGAAGGAAGGGGGGGGAGACGAAGAAGAGGGGGGGCCAGGAGACCCGGAGAGGCATCATGGCCCCGGCCATGAGATCCACCCCTCCCTGGCCACCACCTCCCCAGGGGGATGTTGTGCGTGTTGTTTCTTTGTTTTTGTTCCCCACATCCTGAGTGGGGTTCTTGTTGTCCCAGAAAATCCTCTCCTTTTCCCTCCCGCCTCCCGCCTCCCATATCAATACAACGCCTACCACTCCAGCTTCCCATATCAGACCATGCCTACCATTCCATACCGTACCATACCTACCATGCCATACCATACCCTCCAGGGAGGCCCCGCCTGAGCGAGGAGGGTATCGGAAACCCATAATATTTACATGGTTCCGTGCCCCTCCCACCCCTCCACGCAGGCCCCGCCCCGTCTGAGCGAGGAGGGCATCGGAAACCCATACTATTTACATGATTTCGTGCCCCTCCCTCCCCTCCAAGGAGGCCCCGCCTGAGCGAGGAGGATATCGGAAAACCATACTATTTACATGGTTTCGTGCCCCCTCCACCCCTCCAAGGAGGCCCCGCCTGAGCGAGGAGGGTATCGGAAACCAATAATATTTACATGGTTTCGTGCTCCTTCCACCCCATCCAGGGAGGCCCCGCCTGAGCGAGGAGGGTATCGGAAACCCATACTATTCACATGGTTTCGTGCCCCTCCCATCCTTCCAGGGAGGCCCCGCCAGAGCGAGGAGGTATCGGAAACCCATACGATTGACATGGTTTCGTGCCCTCCCCACCTCTCCAGGGAGGCCCCGCCTGAGCGAGGAGGGTATCGGAAACCAATACTATTTACATGGTTTCGTGCCCCTCCCACCCCTCCAGGGAGGCCCCGCCTGAGCGAGGAGGGTATCGGAAACCCATGCCATCTACATGGTTTCGTGCCCTTCCCCCCTTTTCAGCGGGGCCCCGCCAGAGCGAGGAGGGCATCAAGAAACCGTACTAGCTACAAGGCTTCGTTTCCTGAGCACCTGTCCTCCCTCCTCCTTTCTTTCGTCTGCCCTTTCGCGCGTACTTACTCGTTCGATGAGCTTCTCCTTCGTGTTGATGTTGTCGTACCCCATGGGTCCCACGAAACCGTTAATATCTTTATGTGGGGAACTCCGTTAGCATAATTTGTTTCCTCCTGTAGAGGGACAGGCCCGACTGAAGGCTGGCGCGGCGCGGCGTGGAGGCGGGCCCCCCTGCTGGCTCTTCTCCTGGCCCCTTCTGCCCTGCAGCCCCATGTTCTGAGCCTCTGCTCTCCTCGCTCTCTTGCCTCCTCCTCCTCCTCCTCCTTCTCCTCCTCCTCCTCCTCCTCCTCCTCCTCCTCCTCCTCCTCCTCCTGCCTCCGCCTCCTCCTCTCTTCCTCCTGCTCCTCCTTCTCCTCCTCCTCATCCCTCCTCCTGCCTCCGCCTCCTCCTCCTCCTCCTTTTCTCCTCCCTCCTCCTCCTCCTCCTCCTCCTCCTCCTCCTCCTCCCTCCTCCCCCTCCTCCTCCCCCCCTCCTCCTCCTCCTCCTCTCTCCTCCTCCTCCTCCTCCTCCTCCTCCTCCTCCTCCTCCACCTCCTCCTCCTCCTCCTCCTCCTCCTCCTCCTCCTCCTCCTCCTCCTCCTCCTCCTGCCTCCACTCCTCCTCCAACCTCCGCCTCCGCCTCCGCCTCCGCCCCGCCTCCGCCTCCGCCTCCCTCCTCCTCCTCCTCCTCCTCCTCCTCCTCCTCCTCCTCCTCCTCCTCCTCCTCCTCCTCCTCCTCCTCCTCCTCCTCCTCCTCCTCCTCCTCCTCCTCCTCCCTGTTCTTTCTCCCTCCCTGCTGTCTCCCCCCCCCCCTTCCGGGGAGGGGTCCTGGAGCCACACGAACACGTCCGCGAAGAAGAGGGCCACGAAGAGGGCGCCCATGCTCGCGGTCTGCCTGCGGCCCCGCCGCTCGGACTCTCACGGCGTGCCCGCCGTCGTCGCCGTCGCCGAAGGGAAAGCCGTCACCGTTGTCGCCGTCGTCGCCGTCGCCGTCATCGCCGCCGCCGCCGCCGCCGTCGTCGTCGTCGTCGTCGTCCTCCTCGCCATCGCCGTCGGAATGTTGATTGTAGGTTGGTGGACCTCTCTGGCCCTCCGCAGGCCTCCAGGAGGCCTCCCCAGAGAACCGAGGAGACCCCCGGGGACTTCCGGGGACCTGCTCCATCCCTCCTCCCTCCTCCCTCCTCCCTCCCTCCCTCCTCCCTTCTCCCCCTCCCCCTCCCCCATGCTTCCGATCGTACATGGACAAACTCTCGGTCGCCCTCGTGGACGCCGGGCTGGGGGTCGGCCTGGAAGGGACCGTCCCTGCGCAGTGGCAGGCTCGGGAATGGTCATGCACAGGGACTCCGTTGGAGGTGTGGTCTGGGCAGCTCCTGGCGAATATCAGGGAGAGGCGCGGGCTACCATCGCAGGGCCAAATGAATGCCCTTCCAGCTCTGGAGGCACCTGCCTTGCAGGCGCTGGACTGGGCTGCTCCCCGGAGGCTTCCGGCAGCACTGCACGAGGACGACCCTGTGCTTCTAGCCAGTGGCAGCAGGGGAGGCGCGCAGAAAGCTTTGGGGGTTCTCGCAGCGTGGGCTCACGGACACACGGCCAGCCCTCACGCCAAGGCCACCAAGCACGCAGCCCTGGTACCGGGGGGGCCACCAGTCCCTCCAGGCCGCGCAGGAGGAGCCCCCGGCCCTTGCTTTGGCAGGCCAGGGGCCGATGCACATCGCCATGGTGACCAAACATCGCTGGCCGGGGCTTCATCGGCGCAACGGCCTTGGATCTCCAGGCCATGGGCAGGGACGGGGTCGGCGCCGCGGCCTCCCCCCGCTGCTGCCCTGGCGGGCCTGGTGGCCCGCAAGGAGCTTCCATGATCCGCAGCGGCAGGCGTCTTTGATCTACAGGTGGAGGCCTCTTGCAGGTTCGGCAGGTGGCCCTGGGCCCCTGCGTCCGGAGGAGAGGAGGCTGCGGACGCGGCGCACGAGGACTGGGCAAAGCTGTTCTTGGGCATTCCGCCATGGCGGGGGCCAGCGGCAGCGCTCAGCGAGATGGGCTGGCACCCGTCAGGAAGCGCGGCTGGTGGGCGATGTGGCATCCAGGAGAGCAGTTTTATGGCCCTTCCCGACGGTGACCTGCACCGAAACGTAGCAAGGGGCCCAAGGACACACAAACTAATACACACAAATTCGCCAGCCCAACGGGCCAGGGCGTGCTAAGATCTCCGGTAACTGGTTAACAGTATTAACAGTATTTCTAGTTCGCGCGCGCGGGGCGGCCCCTGGGGGTCCCCCGGCGAAAAGTACCCCGACCAACGCCCGCCGCCCCGACCGCCGCCCGACCGCCGCCCGACCAAGTCTACTCAGAGATGGTTTTCCTTCTGGGTGCGGCCTCTCAGGCTCCCCAGAGCGCGCTCAGAGTGCCCCAAGAGGCCCCCAAGACTGCCCAAGAGGCCCCCGAGACGCCCAAAGAGCGCTCGAAGACGCCGAAGATGACCCCAAGACGGCCCAAAAGGCCCCCAAGACAGCCCAAGAGGCCTCCAAGACGCCCCAAGAGCCTTCCAAGAGGCCTCCGAAGAGAGCCCCAAGAGGCCAAAATCGTTGATTTTCATTGTTTTTTTCTATGTTTTTTGTGTTCTGGCTTTTTCGGCTTCCGGACGCTCCAAGACGGCCCAAGAGGCCCCCAAGACCGCTCCAAGACGGCCCACGAAGCTCCCAAGACGGCGCCGAAACGACCCAAGAGAGCCCTCAAGACGGCCCAAGTGCCGCCCAAGACGGACCAAGAGGCCCCAAGACGGGCCCAAGAGGGACTCAGGAGGGATACCGAGAACTCAAAAATGGAGCCCTCCGTCCCAGAAGGCGCCCAGGAGGTCCCAAAGAGGCCCCAAGAGGCCTCCAAGAGGCCCCAAGATGTCGCCAAGAGGCCCCAGGAGACTCCCAGGAGGCCCAAAAGAAGCCCCAGAAGGCTTCAAACATGTCTCCCAGGCGCCCCCGAACGGCCTCTCAACAGACCCCAAGAGGCCCCCCAAAGAAGCATCTTGACGACGACTCTATTTCGCCCCATCGAGAGACGACCCCCAGGGAACTGCTTCACCATCAAAACTCCCCACGCAACGCGTCCGAACGACACCCGCCCCCAAGAGCGCAACATGGGCAACGAACACACAGACAAAAACCAGCGATGCCATATCACGGGCCGGCGGAATGAGCGAAGCGATTCAATAACAGGATTCCCCATGATCCCCCATATTTTCTGGGTTTTTGACTTCCCCCCCACTTCCCACAGTTTCCCACATGTTCTGGGGAAGCGACGATTCGTCGTGGCTGTGTGTTTCTGCTCCCTCCTGGACGTCTTCCTGGGTGCACACGGAGTGGGGCGACCGCTCGTGGGCCAGGGCCTCTCCAGTTCCTCTCAGCTCCCGGGGCATACAGTCGGGGCGTTGACCCAAGGAACCCTAAATAAGGAACGAGGCCGCTTCTTTCCACAAATGAAACTTCGATCCCCCATCAGAAAACGAAGGGAAACAGCAAAACAACTAATCGGGGATGGACAGACCCCCCTTTAGTAAAACGTGGTTAGTGAAAACGACCTGAGGCCCAAACCTGGCGGGCGCAAGCCTGGAAAATAACGGCCACGGCGCCCTCTCGAGAACCGAAAACGGACAATTCACTAATCGACGTGTCACTGTTGGGGGTTCTGTCCACCCCCGAACTAAGAAACACTGAGCCCCATCCCAAACGAAAAGGGCTGCCTTCTTCAGCGCCCCGACTGTACCAGGCTGGCCGAGCTGGACCCCACGGCACCCCCCAGGGGCACGAGGCCCGGGCTCGCAGAGCCGCGGCCCGGGACAGGTTGGCACAGCTTCTCGGCGCAGCGCTGGCGGCAGGCAGCTGGCCAGCATCACCTCCCGTTTAGGAAGGCGCCAACTATACACCAACACCGATCCTGGCCAGGATCACCCTGGGCCCAGGATCGGTGTATACGCCCTCCTGCCTTGCGCAAGAAGGCATATACACCGATCCTGGGCCCAGGGTGATCCTGGGCCAGGATCGGTGTTGGTGTATAGTTGGTGCCCTCCGACCGTTGCCGTATCTCTTCCTGCGCCCCAGGTTCCTGGCGGACCTGCAGCGGGTAAAGGGCTCCCACCCCCGTGGGAGGCCCTTGCGGACCAGAGGTCGTTGTCGCGTCTCCGCCTGGGCGCCCTGGTCTTGGGGCATCGGTTGGGCAGGCGCTCCCGGGAACGAACCCAAGCATGTATCCCAGGCGATAGTCGCACGAGGAGCCGCACCTTCCGTGTCCTCGGTATGTGCGAGGCTGGGTCGAAACACGTGCGGATTTCTGGCGCACCCGCGGTGCACCGCAACTGGAGTCGAAGGAGTCGTGTGCGGAGGCAATCTGGTATCCCACCCCGGGCCAGCCAGGCCGCGTGGAGACTGCCGCTCAGGCGCTGTCCGCGGACAGGGCGGAGGCATGGTACTTGTCGAAGGTGGTCGCCGCATAACTGCCCTCAACTCAATTATCTTCTCTCTCTCTCTCCTTCCCTCTCTCTCCCTCCCGGTTATTTTCTCTCTCTCTCTCTCTATTCCTTTCTCTCTTCCTCTCTCTCTCTCTCTCTCACCCGCCCATTTATCACCTACATGCCCTAGTGATCCTTGCCTACCTCTCGTGCCCCCGTGCCTCTGCTGCCTTGTCTCGCCCGCTGCCGTCTCTGGCCGAGACGTCTCAGGGAAGCAAGGTACCCATGGCACGCTCACAGTACCTTAGCTGGGTGCCCCCTCTCAACGCGAGGGCCTGGCTCGCGTCTCCGGGACAAAAAAAAACATTGCGGTGTGTTCTCTCGGCAGGAGCTTGGAGATTGTAGCGATGTCATCACACATCTTACGCAAGCGGTGGCTCTCTCTTCCTCTCTCTCTCTCTCTCTCTCTCGCTATCTGGCTCGCTTTCTCTGTGTCTCCCTCTCTCTCGCTCTGGCTTACTTTCTCTGTGTGTCTCTCTCTCTCTCTCTCTCTCTTCCTCCCTCCATCTCGGCTGCGCTTTCTCGCGGCGGGGCCCTGCTCGACCAGGACGGGCCTCTGCTGGGGTTTGTGGGTGGCGGGCTGGGGCAGGTTGGGGGGGATCCTCCCCCATCCGCTCGCCCCTCGTCGGGCTATATTTATGTTTCTCTCTCTCTCTCTCTCTCTCTCTATCTCTCTCTCTCTCTCATTGTTTCTTTCTCTCTCTCTCTCTTTCTCTCTTTCCTCTCTCTCTCTCTCTCTATCTCTTTCTCTAGATTTCCTGTTCTCTCTTTCGCTCTCTCTCTCTCTCTCTCGCTCTCTCTCTCTCTCTCTCTATTTCTCTCTCCCTTCCTCCCTCTCTCTTCTATCTCTGTTTCTCGATTGCTCCCTGTCGGTTGCGCCCCTTTCGCGGCAGAGCCCTGGTCGGACATAGGCCCACGGCCATCTGGAGCGTTTGCCCTGCGGACGTGGCCGTTCTCGGGGCGGGGTGTCCTCTCCAGCGCGCCCCGCCGAGAGCTGCCCGGGAGTGCCCCCGAGTCCAGGGCAGACGCCTTCCATGGAGGCGCCCCATGTGATCCACCTGCATGGTTTCAGCTCGTTTTGGGGGCCACTCATGGAGTCGAAATCGTGGGCAGACGGGCCTCTGCTGGGGGTTGCAGGTGTCGGGCTGGGGTGGGTTGAGAGGGGAGTGCCTCTTGTCCTCCTCCTTCCGCTGGCCCGCCTTCCCCTCCCTCCCTCCAGGCTACGCGCTCCCTCCGAAGGGCCTTTCTTCAGCAGGGACGCTGCGGCAACGGGGTGCGACTTCGGTCAGGTTGGGTTCGGCAGGGGTCCCCTGTATTCCCCAGGGAGAGTCTTCGTTCCCCCTCCCTGCCTGCTGGTCTGCACTCGTGCTTAGCGCACGCTGTTTTGGTGGCTGGGGCTGGGGACAAGGTAGGGTGAAACCCCTGGCAATTAAGATGCGGACTCTCTGCCCGACCATCTCACTCCCGACGGCCGCGGTCCCCTCCATCGCGGGCTTTCTTGGCACGGAAGGTGGCCATGGACCTGCCCGCCTGGAAGCACCCTTTTCGGTGTGGGGATGTTCTGTCGCGGCGGCCTCCCCTGCCTGGTCAGCCTCACCAAAAGCATCCGCGCCTGAGGATGCGGACGCCGCCCTCTGGGCCACCCCAGCCGGTCCCTCTACCCCCTCCTCCTCTTCCTCCTCTCCCACCCTCAGCCTCCACCACCCAGGGGATCGGCTCGCACCCGCCCGCCCCCGCCGCCCCCCCCACCACACTCTCGAGCGCAGGAAGGCCCGCATCGACGCAGCCACCCGGGACTCGTGCCAACCTCGGTGGGCGCGGCCCGCGCGCGGGCTCAGGGCAACCAAGGCAGACGACAACGAACGACGAAAACGGCAAACGACGACGACGACGACGACGACGACGACGACGACGACGCCGACGGCGGCGGCGGCGGCGGCGGCGGCGGCGATGGCGGCGGCGGCGGCGGCGGCGAGGGCACTCGGCGGCGGCAGCCGGCTGCGGCTGGCGGGAGGCCGACCTCCAGCTGCTCAGGCGCACGAGGCTGGATCGACGGGCGGATGGTCGCCCGTCCCTGTGGTGATGACGACGACGACGGACGACGAACGACGGCGACGACGCCGCTGCGCTGGAACGACGACCGGCGACGACGACGACGACAACAACGACGGAAGGATGATCGACATAATCGTAAATTGTATTGGTCATCAAAATCATCATCATCATCATCATCATCATCATCATCATCATCATCATCATCATCATCATCATCATCATCATCATCATCATCATCATCATCATCATCATCATCATCATCATCATCATCAGCATCAACATGATCATCATCATCATCGTCATCATCAGCATCATCATCAGCATCATCATCATCATCTTCATCATCATCATCATCATCGTCGTCATCATCATCATCATCATCATCGTCATCATCTTCATCATCATCATCATCATCATCATCATCATCGTCGTCATCATCATCATCATCATCATCATCAGCATCATCATCATCATCATCATCAGCATCATCATCATCATCATCATCATCATCCTCATCATCCTCATCATCCTCATCATCCTCATCATCATCATCATCATCATCATCATCATCATCATCATCATCATCATCATCATCATCATCATCATCATCCGAGAAGCTGCGCCGCCTCATCGAATTCAACATGGGCGAGGGCACCTTCGCGCGCGCCAAGGAAACCAAGAACCTCGGGGTCGACTACGGCATGGGCGGCAAGGCTGTGACGGTGGCCTCCTCGCGGAGGGAGGTGGCCGAGACCCAGCTGGGGCGCGTCCTGTCGGTGAGACGCGCATCCAAGGCCGCGGCGACCAAGCTAGTCAACTCGGGCCTCCGACCTGCGACGACCTACGGCATTTCGTGCATGGCATGGTCTACCGAGGCGCTGACGAAGTGGAGGTCCAAGATCGCCGCTATCGCGTTCGGCACGGGTCCTGGACGCAGCATCAGCCTCAACTACCTGATCTCCGCCAAGCCGTGGGACGACCCGCTCTACGACCACATTTCCAAGCCTCTCGAGGCGTGGGCCAGGGCGCTGCAGCTGGTCAGCGAGCAGGACAAGAGGGCCCTCGGCTCGGCCTTCGCGGCTGCGCGCGGCCGCCTGGCCGCCTCTGGCCCCGAGGACCTGGCAGGCCGCGGGCCAGCGGCCGCTGCGGCCTTAGTCGCCTGGCGGCTCGGGTGGAAGGCCGACCACATCAGGCGCTGGACGGACGACCTCGGGAGGATCATCGAACTGGGTGAGATCGACAGGCACGCGCTGCGCCGCGAAGTGCAGGCGGCATTCATCAGGAAGCTCTGGAAGGACGTTGCTGGCCGAGACCCCGTGCTCGGCCACCTGGGCGGGGGCGCTGCCGTCAACGGGCTCAGGCGTCGCCTCGGGCGCGCCCACGCCACCTCCGAGCTGACAGCGAGGTGGTCGTCAGCAAGGAATGCCATCGTCGGGTGCCTGTGGCCAGTCCAGCGGCGCGCAGCAGCCGAGCCCCCGCTTGCGAGCTCGGGGCGCTGCCCGGGAGGCGGGCGAGGAGCTGGGCACGGTCAGGCACGTGGTGTGGGCCTGCCCTGTGCTGGACCGTCTACGCAGGCAGTGGAGGCTGGACGACCAGAACATCCACTACTTCCTCAACGCGGGCGGCCCGCTGGAGGCGGACGTCGAGCACGCCATCTGGTCGCGCTGCCTGGTCAAGGACCCGCGGAACGACCACCCGCTGCCCCTCTCGACGCGGATGGTCCGCGCCACGGGGCCCCGAGCGGGCGGGCCTCTGCACGGCGAGGTCTTCCTAGACGTGTCGGCCTTCGACGTCCAGGACCGCGTCGTGGCTCGCGCGGGCTGGGCAGCTTGCTCGACGGACCACATGGGCGAGGAGATCTCCAGCATCTTCGGGCCAGTCCCCTGGCCACGGCCCCAGGAGTCGGGCTCGGGCGAGCTGCTGGCCGCGGTGGGGGCGCTGGCACACTGCCTCCCGCCGACCCACCTCCTCAGCGACTCGCAGCTGCTGGTCGACGGCTGGGAGGCGGGCGAGGACTGGTGCACGTGCTGGAACCGCCCATACAGGCAGGTATGGATTGCCTTATGGTCTCGGGTTCGACACGTGGGCGCCGATGTGATTCGGATCACGAAGGTCAAGGGTCACGCCACCATTTTCGACGTCCTTCAAGGCACTTCGACTGAATGGCAGATGAGAGGCAACCGTGTTGCCGACGCTCGTGCCAAGGAGGGCGCGAGCTGCCACCCGTCTTTTCCCGCGCTCGCCGAAGCCGCCACGATCGCTGATGAGTGGGGGGTCAGTCTGGGTCGGTGGACGGGGCGCTTCAGGAAGGCGACGGGTGGCTTCGAGCGAGCGGCTGATATCTCGGCCCAGGGCTGCAGGCGATCCGTTGCTCAGTGGACGGGTGCCGCCAGAAGATGCTTGCGGCATGCTCGTCGTGCCAAGCCAAGCCCTGCAGCAGGCATGGCTCATCGATGTTACTTCCAGCGGGGGGCCGAGCGTGGAGCTGCGCGGACTGCGCAGCGCGTGGCACGCCCCTCCCAGCTGGTTCCCTCCCGCTCCCGCCCCCGCCCCCACCGCCGACGCTCTCGGGCGGAGAGGGGCAGCAAGGCAGGCCCTCCGCCGCGCTGGGCCTCGCCCTCGGCCTCAGCGCGGCAGGCGCCGCCGCGGCGGGGGGGGGTCAGGAGGAGTGGGGGGGGCGAGGAGGAGGAGCTGCAGCGGCTGCCAGCACAGGGCAGCAGCAGCAGCAGCAGCAGTCAGCCAGTCCCTGCCAGAGCAGGGGCCGATCCACCAGGGGGGCAACCGCGCTCGGGAGAGACGGGGTCCTGGGGCCCGCTCGGTAAGGAGTTGCCCCCCTGGTGGAACACGCGTTTCCATAGCTCCCTTGCGCTGTGCGTGGCTCGTACACCCAGTCAGCGAGGGTGAACGGGCTTGTCGAACCCTGTCCTGGACGGCCCGCCTCCGAGCGGCTGCGGGAGACGGGCTCCGAAGAATGACGCGTGGCCCGCACCCCACGCAAGGTGGGGCGGCGGCCGACCTCGGCGCCCATGCGGCCCTCCCTCGGCGTGATCGGTCGAGGGCGAGTGGGCTGGAGGGGGCTGGGAGGCAAATGTAGCAGTGCGGGGGGGGCCTCAGCGACTCGGCGGTGTCCCCGCAGGGAGAGCGGGATCATCATCACCATCAGCAGCATCATCATCATCATCATCGTCATCATCATCATCATCATCGTCATCATCATCATCAGCATCATCATCATCAGCAGCAGCAGCATCATCGTCATCATCAGCAGCAGCAACAGCATCATCATTATCAGCATCATCATCATCGTCAGCATCGTCATCGTCATCGTCATCATCATCGTCATGGTCATCATCGTCGTCATCATCGTCAACAGCATAGTCATCGTGATCATCATCACCACCACCGCTATCATCATTAGCAGCATCATCACCATAATCATCAGCATCATCAGCATCAGCATCAGCAGCATCATCGGCGTTGTCGTCATCGTCGTCATCCTCGTCGTCGTCGTCGCCGTCGTCGTCGCCATCGTCATCGGCAGTGACATCATCAGTATCGTCAGCATCATCATAATCATCATCATCAGCAGCAACATCATCACCATCATCATCAGCATCAGTATCATCGTCATCAGCAGAATCATCATCCTCAACAGCATCATCAGCAGCACAGCCATCACCATCGTCTGCAGCAGCATCATCACAGCCAGCATCATCAGCACCGCAATCAGCATCATCATGATCAGCATCAGCATCATAATCATCATGATCATAATCATCGGCATCATCAGTATCATCATCAGCAGCATCATCGTCATCATCATCATCATCATGTTCAGCATCATCGTCATCGTCGACGTCCTCATCGTAAGCATCTTCGTCCTGGCCACCGTCGTCAGAATCGTGCCCTTCGACAATATCTTCATCATCAGAAGCAACAACAACAACATTCTCATCCCCATCATAATTTGACTGCAATCGTAACCTTTGCCAACGTAATCAGAATCATCAACAGCATCAGCATCAGCATCATCATCAGCATCATCAGCATCAGCATCGCCATCATTGTTCCCACCATCGTCGTCATCGTCGCGACGATCATCATTACCACCACCACCACCAACACCATCGTGATCATCATCGCCACAACCACCACGATAATCGTCATCATCGCCTTATCATCCACATCAGCAGCAGCAGCATCATCATTACCATCAGAATCAGAATCGTCATCTTCATCATCGTTATCATCATCACCCTAATCATCATCATCAGCATCATCATCATCATCATCATCAGCAGCAGCATCATCACCATCACCATCACCATCACCATCACACCATCACCATCACCATCACCAACATCATCGTCATCATCGTCGTCGCCACCATCGTCGTCGTCGCCTCCATCATCTTCACCACCATCATCGTCATCAACGCGATCATCATCACTACCGCAGTGATCAGCATCCCACGTCTTGACCCATGATGGAGCGAGTGCTAACAGGTGTGCGGTCCTTTCGGCTGCTCCTAGCCGACAAAAAAAACACTGATTTTGAGAAGGGACCGACCTTCCCGGCATTCCTATAGGCCTACCACGTCATGATCTTAGAACCCAAAAATGTTATAATCACAAAAAGTTGTTCTTAGAACATTCACCTGATGCGCTGAAACAAAACAGTCTCAGCCAGAAATGTTCAAAGAACCTTTCGTCGAAATCACAAAATATTCTTAGAAAATTATGCGGTGGGCGTATAGGCGAGCCAGGACGCTTCGCCACTGCTTGATTCTTGGGTCAGGCTCCAAGTCTTGACATACAGCGAGCGGTTGGGGCGCTGACTGCGGTGCCGCGATGGCTTCACCGTCCTCATCGTCATCTTCCTAATGTTTATCCTCCTCCTCCTCCTCCTTACCCTCTACGCCTTACCCTTCGGCGCGGCTAAGGTGCGGTCCGAGACGGACGAGGAAGTTGCGGAATCGCCCGCGGGTTCCCACGTAGAGGTCCCCTGTCCACGTGGAGGCGACGATCTTCGTCCTGCAGGCCCTACCCTCATCCTCCTCTTCTGTTCTCCCTGCTTATCCTCCTGATCCCTCGAGTTCCTAAACTATCCGTTGCGCTTTCCTCCACCTCTTCCTCCTCCCCCATCCCTTTCCATTGTAGTGAATACCGCTCTTGCCTGTCGCACCACGAGACGTGTCCGTAGGCCACAACACGTTTTTCGCCTCAGACCTCCTCAACATGTCTGATCCGGACGACTGACACATTGCAACAACGACAAGGATGGAGGGCCCGCTCTTCTTCAGCATTCGGCGGCGCAAGGATGGAGACTCGAGGGATGGAGTCTGAAGGACGAGGCGCTTCAAACAGTGTACCCTCGGACCTCTTCCTATCATCTGGACCCCATCCCTCAGGCCAGGGCCTCATCCTCTGCAGTACCAAACAGCTTGCTTCGGGTGTTGCTCAAAGTGCCCCTGGCCCAAGGTACCCCCAGCTTGTCCATCTATGTTTGGGCCCCTGGGGCCCTCTGGGCCTCGTTGGGGGTGCTCTGGAGGCCGTCTGGGCCACCCCGGGAATCCTGGGGGCACCTTGGGCCAGGGGCACTTCTGGCAACACCCGATTGTTTGAAGTCAGCAGGCGCAAGCGGGTCGACGCCGGTGCAAGCGCTGGTTGGGCAACGGGCGGGACGCGCCAGGAGCGTTGCGAGGCACGAAAGAAAAGCGGAGGAGGACGCAGAGCCACCGAAAAAACATCGAGTGGCGGGAGGGCGGGGCGGGCCAGGGCGCCAAAGCGAGGGCGAGAGGCGCGGGAGGGAGGGGGACACGAAAGGGACAGAGAGCGGGGCTGAGTATCGTTTAACCGATCCCCATCCCCAGCGGCGTGGCCTGGGCCCAACTGGTCGAACCCCCCCTAGATGAGGATATAGGCCGTCCCCTTCGGGTTTCGAAGGGTGGATCCCCAACTAGGGGGGGTAATTTGGTGGGGGTCTCGAAGGGGATGGGGGTGGGGATGGGGGTCGGATAACAGATGCTGACGAGAGGCGCGGGGTGTGGGGGGGCACGACAGGGGCAGAGAGCGGGGCGGCAGCCTGCGGCCAAGGGAGAGGCAGCGGGAAGAGGAGCGCAGGACCGCCGTCACGCCCACGATTTGAGCAGGGACCGACCGTGCCGGCATCTCTATGGGCCTACCACGAACTGTTCGTAGAACCCAAGAATGTTCCACGAGCACGGCAGTCCCAGCCAGAAATGTTCCAGGAGCATTTCGTGGAAACCACGAAAGGTCCTCAGAGCATTCTTTGGTAGGCCCATAGGCACGCCAGGACGCTTCGCCACTGCTCGAACGATCCGTAGGCTCCCCGTGCGCCCAAAGGACGGAGAGCGGGGCAGCAGCATGCGGCAGGGGAGAGGCCGCGGGAGGGAGCGCAGGACCGCTGCAGCGCCCACGAGTCGTGGCCTCCGTCGCCCAGCTCCGTCGCGCTGGAAGGCACCTACAGTCGGGGCGCTGACCTAAGGAACCCTAAAGAAGGAACGAGGCCCCTTTTCTCCAGAAGTTGAACTTCGATTTCCCTTCGGAAACCTGAGGAACATCCAAGGCAAACTGTGAAGCAATCAAGGAACATGGAGCCCCTCCCCAACGAAAAGGGTTCCTTCTTCAGGGCCCCGACTGTACTGGGAAGCAGTCTTCGCTGGAAGGATCGGGGAGAGTTGTTAGCCCCACGAGGGGGCTGCTGCGCCGGATGAGGCCGCGGATCAGGCCAGAAAGAGCGGGATCTCATCGGGATGAAGCCGGACCTCGGCCCAGGGCAAAGTCAGAATTTGACCTCCCAGGAGTTGTGATGGGCCTGTCTTCCACCACCGCCACCATAAGCTGGATGGGGGGAAGGAGGAGGAGGACGAGGAGGAGGACGAAGAAGAGGAGGAGGAGGAGGACGACGAGGAGGAGGAGGAGGAGGAGGACCCCCCCTCCAGCTTATGGTGGTGGTGGTGGAGACCAGGCCCATCAAGTTGCACCCGAACACAGCGGAGCCGGGGAGAGGCAGCACGAGAGCCAGCGCAAGGCCGCCATCAGGCCCACGAGCCGTGCGGCCTCCGTCGCCCAGCTGGCGAGCGGAGCCGGAAGTCTGCTGGGCTCCCAGCGGAGGAGCCGCGGGAAGGGCTCTCGCGTCCACACCGCAGTCGGCGGCGAGCGAGGGGGGGGGAAGCCAGGAGGACGAGGCCATCTCAGAAGGCGGCGGGGCTTCCGCGAGGCCCTGCGGCAGCCTGAGCAGTTTGTGTCCGTCTGCGCGGAAGGCTCGGGGAGCTTCTCAGAGGGCCGGGGGGCCTCCGAGCCTCCTCAAAGGCCCGCCCCTCCCGACTGCCCCCCCTGGGGCTCGCCCACGACGCACGCGGCCTCCGAAGCGTGGGCAGCGGCTGCAGGAACGGAGGGCGCTCGGCGCTTCAAAGAGGGGGCCCTCGCCTCGGCGCCGCGCAAAATTCGGCTGAAAAGCTCGCATCGGCTACAGTCAGGTCGGGCCTGTCCGCCTGATGGCGGAGTTTGGACGAAAAATTGAGAATTGTTGAGAAATATCCGAACATTGCCAAAACATGTGAAACAAATCGTCCCTCGACCCTTTTTTACTATTTTTGAACGGTCCCCCTGTAGAGGGACAGGCCCGACTTAAGGCTACAGGGATGGAGGGGTCGTGGGGAGACCAGAGCGTACTGTTTTGCCACTCCCCGAGCCTCTCCCGGGGTGCGTTCTGACCAGAACTGCCAGGCGGATTCAAAGGTGGCGACGAGGGTCTCCCAGGAGGCCCCAAACAAGGGAAACGAGGGAAAGGTAGAGGTATGGGTACCTCTTCCTCGTCTCAGGTTGTCCCTCGCCTAAAAGCATACAAATTGCAGCATGCACATCGGGTGGAGGGAGGCCGGCTTTCGAGAGAAAGAGCTCGCGTCTCAGCGCAGCGCGCTACCATAGGATAAAGGACGGGTGGGCTTCAGAATGTGGTTCTCGCTTGAGACTTCCATCAATCAAGTGGCAATAGGCTTGAAAACGCATGCGAAAGCTACAAAGATGGGTAACGGCTCCTTTCCAGAATCGAACTCTCGCTGGACACCACGTGTAAATCTTTGTGATCGTCCCTGTGTTTCGCGTTCATTATAATTCGCTAAGAGGGTGCAAAGCAGCTTCATTTCAAAACCGGGCCGCTGCTTGCAGTGAAAAGGCAAGTTCGTAGTGACTTCTCAAGAGTTGACTTGAGATGCGAGGGTGTAGTGCAACTCTAGCCATCCGCCTCCTCCTCCCTCCCTCCCTCCCTCGATCCCTCGCACCCTCCTTCTATCCCTGACTC